GTCAGCTACATTAGCAATAGCAAGTATACTCTAATTTTCTATCTATGAAGGCCTCTGAATGTTAGAATTGTGGCTTTAGGAAAGTTCCTGACTTGCTACACAGGAGCCACTGAGGGAAATTGGGGCTCAGGGACTCTCAGCATTCGCTGATCGAGTCAGTATATGTTTGCTACATGCCCATGCTGCAGGCTCAGAGCTCCAGAAGCAGAAGCTGAGAAACAGGAATACCCAGGCAAACAGAGGAGGAAGCAGGGTTGGGGGAATCAAACACAGAGCCAACCAGCCATTCATGGAAGCAAGTTCATACTTGGGGACCAAGGTGGGAAGAGATGGCAGAGACACCCTCTTTATTTGACAGAAACGGTAACTATCCGAGAGTGAGATTATTAGTCCTCTGACAGAGACAACATGTTAGTGTGCCTTTGTCTGCGTGTAGGAGCAAATCTGAATTCAGACGCGCTTCAAGAAAGAGGAAACTGATTTATTTCACATTTCTGGGAGACCAGACATGGGAGGGCTCCATGAGAACTTCAATAATATTTCTTTCTTCTCATCTGCCACTCTCATTGTACCAGCCGAGATGGGCTAGGAAATGCTGCAGTGGCAGACTGCTCCCAGTGGCTGTGAAAGTGAAAACCTAATTTATTTACTCACACTGCACATCCATGTTGGGGCACTATTTTCATTAGCTTTCTAGGATGTCTCATTGTACTCGCCAAACCACTCCCATGTAGAATATCACTGATCAACACGCCGGAATAGAATGAGGACTCTCAAGTATTCTGCACCAGCAGACAGATGCTCTGCTTCAGAAATCACACAGGACATTTCTGCTCACACCTTGGAGACTAGTCACTTCCCCCTCCGACTCACCGGAGAGCCAAGAACTCTACAATACGCCCAAAAGGCACAGAGAGTGGGCGGAGCTAATGACTATGAAGTTAAATATCTACGTTCAGTAACAGTTGGCACCTCCACCCCTCCTGCCATGGTCAAATCATCCAGACAAGCAATACAAGAGAAATGATCACTTCCCTGACTTAGTATTGAACAGGATTCCCTGTCCATTCTTAAATAACCATGGTCAAATGGCAGTAGGATTATTATGATTGGTTCAATCCAACTAGATCCAGCCTCTTAAAGAGATTGGAATGGGGTCATTTTTTCCTTGAACTTCAGGGCTGTGTAAAGTTGATGTAATTGTTGTATGATTCTTCTCTGGTACTTTTATATTGTTTTTGAAGAAAGATTTATGTATTTATTTGAAAAGTAGTTACAGCAAGAGAGAGGAAGACACACAGTGATATATATATGTACATATATATATATCACTATATATATATCACTGAGAGAGAGAGAGAGAGATTCCATCTGCTGGTTCACCTCCCAAATGGCTGCAAAGGCAACGGTTGGGCCAAGCCAAAGCAAGGAACAGGAATTCCATGTGTGTGTCACATACAGGTGGCAAAGTCTCAAGTACCTGGACCATCTTGTGCTTTCCCAAGCACATTAGCAGGAAGCTGGATTGGAAGCAGAGCAGCTGAAACTGGAACAGTGCTCTGTATATATAGGATGTTGGCAACTGAGGCAGAGGCTTAAACTGCTAAGCCAGGCTCCTCTCTGGCACCGCTCATTGAGCCAAATCTAAAAAGGAAGGATGAAGTAACACTGAAGCTGAAAGAAAGCTGCACAGCGGTATGCAAGCAGCTTGGTTTGAACCAATCAGAAACAGTGCAAGGCAGAATGAGCTGCAATCAATAAGCCTTAAGCCACCACCCAACTGTACGAAACTCTTGTTTTCTGTGAGTCTGTTGATACCATCATTGATGACCACAGGGGTTTAGAACACATCTGTGGTCCTGATGGTCTGAAGAAACAAACCAATTTTCCTTACTAGTGCTACTGATCAAATCTAATTAAATCCCTATATGAGGAAGACACATCTCTTCTACCTATTATTAGGGAGCACCCAAAAACAGAAAGCAAATTCTGGAAAAAGGAAGGGAAGATGAAATCCCAGAAAAAAGGCAAGGGATAATTCACAAAATATATACAGTATGGAGGTCACAAGATTTTGCAGCTGATGCTGTCACATACACTTTTGCGAGTCTTACATGAATCTTATGAGCTCATGAGCTTGAGATTCTCAAGCCAGACAGTCCCACTTAGATCTCTCTGAGGTATTTTAATCTCAGCGCAGCTAGCTCTGACCACCTTGATCAGAACACCCTCAGAAGTCATCAGCTACCAAGCACTGACTTCATTATTTTTTTTAAATAAAGAGAATGTATTTATTCACATGAATCCTCTTACAGTGTGTTTCTAGCCTTGATCTTGAGGTAATAGTAATAATAATAATTTAAAAGCACCTGCAAGTATGGTGCTATGTCATTGTTCACTCTAGCACATCGATATCCAAGGAACCTGCTCATTTGACAGTGTTTTCTCCTGATGAAAACTCACCAAGAGTTACTTATCGATACACAGAATGTGTCAAATAAGTTCAGGTTCTCTGGGAAGAGATAAAATGCCTTTCCTGTTGGCCTTCCTGGGGGAAAAGCTCCCCCAAGAGTTCAAGTGAATCTGCTTGTAGCTTCATCTCCCCGAATTCTGCCGGGGAGGGTCCCTCTACCGGCGTCGTCCTTCCTTCCTTGTCTGCTTTATTAACTCTTAGTCACTCTTCAAACAGTGCTTATTGCCTCCGGGAGAAGGCTGCAATGGGCACCTTTGCCCTCTATAGGCTAGCCTGGGCACCTATCATCTGCTCTCAGAGCCTTCTCCGTCCATTTTTTATCCTGGGACACGAAGGATACTCTCCGGAAACCATTTGCTATTTCTTTCCAAACATTGTCTAAGCACTCACCACTTGCAGGGTGCCTGGCGGGGAACAGGCACTCAACGAATGGCGAACAGAGTGCACATGAAGCTGAAGGAAGAAGGGGAAAAAGGAAGGACGGGAGAGAGGGCTGACAATGGAAGAGTGGAGGTTCCCCAGAGAGTTGGTCACCTCCTCATCCTAGAAGCTGCCTCCTCCATCTGGAAATCTGCCTTAGGCGCTCTACAGGTTCCTCCCCGGGGCTGCACTCAGGAGGGCTGCACTGAAGGTCTCCGTAAATTCCCTACTGCCTTCCCTCTGACAGTCCTAAACTGCCGGCAGTCAAAGGACTCCGATCTCCCAGGAAGAAATTTGGACACAGCCATGGCTTTCGGTTCCTCTCTCCAAGGACACCTGCTAGCAGAGATCATGCTTAGGACTTGCCACCATCTTGGAGTGACCTTACAGCTTGAAAACTAGTCTTCCCCAGCTCTCAGTGTGTCCACCTCTTCCAACCCCAACAGTCACAGAGCAGGAATTTCCTCTAAGGGGTGCATTGTTTTTTGAAAGTCAGCCTCAACACTCTGAAGTCCAGGCTGGGCACCAGGGACTGGAAGTACCATCTAGCCCCGGAGCTCTCAAGTTTACGACCGGATTAGGTGGGAAGGAGAGCGTTCACGGGGAAGAGACTGGGTTCGGCTCCCTGGTTGGCCGCGGAGAAGTCACTTCAACCCTCCGGCCTCAGTTGAGGAACCTGTAGCAATGGGTCTGACCTCTTTCCTCGGCGGCGAGCGTCACCGCTAGGGAGAGGCAGAGGCTTGCGGAAAAGCACAACTTCAGGTCTGGAAGTGCTCAGGCTGGCGGGGGACTCGGCAAGGGTGGGAACGGTCCAGAGGACCAGAAGCGGCTACTGGCGACAGCAGGGGGAAGTGGGGTCCAGCGGCGAGCGGGAAGCAGGACGGGAGGGCAGGCGGGCGGGTGGATGGAATGCCTCCCGAGGGGACACTCCCGCCCCTCCCCGTGCCCTGTCTGCACTGGCTCGCCTTGGATTAACTGGTGTCCAGGGCTTTGGTGACGCGCGGATTCAAGTGTTGTGAGGTGGGGAGGTGGAAGACTGTGTGTGTGTGTGTGTGTGTGTGTGTGTGTGTGTGTGTGTGTGTGTGTGCAGAAAGAGGAGTAACCCCCACATCTCACCCCGCCCCAGCTCTCCGGGCGCCCAGGCGTGGAAACGTGGGCGGCGGCAAGAGGCCGTCCCCCTCCCCGCACGGCGCTCCCTGTGTGCGGTGTGTGAGTGCGTGTGTCTCCCTCGCTCCTCTCGCACGCACTCCTCGGCACTAGTGCAGGCGCAGAGCCCGCGGCTCTCGGCTCGCTGTCTCGTTCGCTTGTTCCGGCCGCCGCCGCCGCCTCTGCAGTCGCAGCCGGGCATGGTGAGTGAGTGAGTGAGGTTCGGCCGCCCCACGCTGACCCCAGCTCCTCGTCAGACCCCAACCTCAGCCGACGCCGTCCCGGGCATCTGCTAGCCTTAGCGGCGGGAGCGCCCGGCCGGCCCCGGCGGCAGGTGCGCCCTCGGTCCCCGGCGCGCTGGGCCGCCGGACTCCGTCTTGGGAGCCGGCTCTGCGCCCTTCCCCGCCCGGAGCTCGGCTCTTCGAGGGCTGCGCGCCCCTTCCTTGCCAGTCCGCTGTTCCCCTCCTGCTTCCCGGAGCGCCCTTCGCCCCACCCCGTGACCAGCTCCCTGTCTTGTCCCGCAGGACCCGCCCGGACGGGACCACGTCGCCACTGCCGCCGCCGCCGCCACCACCACCACCACCGCCGCCGCCGCCACCCAGAGCCGCGCTTCGGGTCCTGCCTGAGCCGAGCCGCGCGCGGGGCTGCAGCCGCTGCCGGCGGGGGATGGGGCTGCCCGGGAGGCGCGCCGATCCCGCAGGGGGAGCGCGGAGCCGGGGCGCAGCCTAAGAGTCCTGAGCAGCCCGCGCCGGTCCGGTCTGTGCGCACCGCGCACCGCGCGCCGCCGCTGCCGCTGCCACCGCTGTCCGCGCCTCGATGGCGCCTTTGCTAGGGTGCCGTTGAGCATCCCCCTCCTTGCGCCGCCTGTCCAGCCCGTTGCGGCCGCTCTCGGAGCCTGGCCCGCCGGGGGAGCGGCCTTCCGCCGAAGCTTCCCCGTGCGCCCTCCCGCCCGGCCCCCGCCATGGCGCTGCGGCGCCTCCTGCTGCTGCTTCTGCTCCTGCTCTCGCTGGAGTCCCTGGACCTGCTGCCCGGTGGCGCCCACGCCGCCCGCGGCCGCGCCGCCAACCGGACCCTGAGCGCCGGTGCCTCTGCCGTCGGGGGCCGGCGGTCCGGGGGCGCCCTGGCCCGGGGCGGCCGCGAGCTGAATGGCACCGCCCGGGCGTCCGGTGGTGTCCCGGAGGCGGGGAGCCGGCGGGGGCAGCCCGCGGCGGCAGTGGCGGCGGCGGCAGCGGCCAGCGCGACCGTCACCTACGAGACCTGCTGGGGCTACTATGATGTGAGCGGCCAGTACGACAAGGAGTTCGAGTGTAACAACAGCGAGAGCGGCTACCTGTACTGCTGCGGCACCTGCTACTACCGCTTCTGCTGCAAGAAGCGCCACGAGAAGCTGGACCAGCGCCAGTGCACCAACTACCAGAGCCCCGTGTGGGTGCAGACGCCCAGCACCAAGGTGGTTTCGCCGGAGCCCGAGAACAAGTACGACCCGGAGAAGGACAAGACCAACTTCACCGTCTACATCACCTGCGGGGTCATCGCCTTCGTCGTCGTGGCGGGGGTCTTCGCCAAGATCTCCTACGACAAGGCCCACCGCCCTCCGCGGGAGATGAACATCCACAGGTGAGAGCCATGGTGCGGTAGCCCTTCCCCTCTCTGCCCCCACGACTCCGCTGGCCTTGGCCCTCTCCACGAGTCTGTCCTCCACCACTGACTCCCCGTACCCCGCCCCCAGACCCTCCTTAGAGGCCCTTGCACCTTCACTTCCTTGATTCCCAGTCCGTGGGAGCCTTCCTGTGCTCTTCTCCTGAAATCTCCATTCCTGCCCAGCTGTAGCGCAAGCTTTGGTGGTGTTAGGGTCTCTAGAAGGCTCAGAAAGAGTTAGTGTACATAGGAGTACAAATGTAAGATTTTCTTTTTTTAAAAAAAAAAACATCAATTCTGTGATTCTGGTCTCGGAACCCGGGTTCTATTTTCCGAGCACGTGGGCACTTTGGTGACATTTAGTAATTTTTTTTTTTTCCTTTTCTGGAGGCAAACCTGGAGTATCATGTTCCATATAGAAAACTGCCCGTATTGGAACCATATTGAAAAGAGCACCCAGTGGCTTAGCATGAACTGGAGCGTCCCCTGCGGTGTGGCTGGGGGTGACACAGCGAGCCGCGGAAGCACAGATGGTGCCTCTTGGAGTGGAGGACTTGTTCTGTTCAGCCCTCTAGGCAGAACTCTCTCAGCGGTTTTGCTGCTGAGGCATCCCTTGCTGCTGCTCACACTTGGGGACGCAGTGAGGGTTGCCTGCTATTGGAACTGAACTCCCAGCGCTCAGAGCATGGCAGCCCATGGCTTCACTCTGACTTTCTTTCACCCCATTGCTCTGTACCTTGACAGGTGCAGTCCAAACCCAGGAAACTAGATTCACCCAGCCATTCATTACAAGTCTCAAGAAAACACACTCCAAGTGAGCTGCCCTCATGACAATGTTGTGGGGCTTCCTGTGGCTCAACAGGGTCCTCTGAGGGACCAAGCCTGGCCCCACGGATCGTCTGAATGCCAGGTGCAGGGGATGAATGCTGGCCTGAGAGCCACAACTACCCCCTTCCTGCGCGGGCGCACACACACGTTGCTTCTGAGTTCACCTAGCAGTGGATCATGCTGATCCATCCTTTTTAGCTCAGCTATGTACACCTGCTTGTTATCCCTAGAACCTGAACACCTCCTCCCCTTGCCGCTGTGGACATTAATCACCCTCACCCCTGGCTTGCTGAAAGGAGAGAGAGGCACACAGAAAATTCTAGGCATGCCGACAGAGCTGATTTTTTTTTTTTTTCCCGGAGTGGTGAGAAAGGGTGATGCCCCCTTGGAAGGTTTAACTGAGTCAAGTCCACAAAGTGTGGGTTCTTTGAGCCAAGATCTGGAGTGCAGTGGCGAGGGTCTGTGTGTGTGTGTGTGTGTGTGTGTGTGTGTGTGTGTGTGACTCCAGGAAGAGACCACAGGAGAACCTTCTCCCCTCGTCCCAGGGGCCACCACCTTCTCTCCTACCTCCACCTTAACCGTCAGGCAGTACATTTTGACCCAGGGTTGTTCTCTGTCCCTTCGCTGGCCTTGTAAGGAAATAACCTGGGGTCAGTCCCAGCTTGCCGGTGCAGAACACAGGTGGGACGAGGTCAAGGCCAAACCCTTTCCTCTTCTGATCTTGTTTGGCAAACACTGCTCTGTCTTGGCTAAGCTTGGACAGCAGAGAGAGAGGACTGCTCGTGAGCCTGGTCCCTTTCCCGAAGCAAATGTGCTGGTCCTTGTCATCCGTCCACTTCCAGCTTAGGACTTGGAGGAGCCTTGTCTCCTGGATCCTTTTCCTGCGGCCTCTCTTCTCTGCCTCCGGCCTCTTCTTGGGTGATTCTCACAAACCTTTCTCTCTTTTGGGTTTCTCTCTTCCGTGAGCTGATGTTCTCTGGGCTGTCCTGCCACCACCTCCTTCCTCCAGGGTTTGTGCATCAGTGCCTAGCATGATAGGTTGGGAGGCATCCTCTGAAGGCTGGGGACAGGCCTCTTTGGAAGCTACTGGCACCTGCACATGAGCCCACTGAGGTTACTGAATCTCTTGGTGTGCCCCCCATCACACAGGCACCCCATCCTAAGCCAGGGTAATTACACAGATGTCACAGGAGGGATTTCTCTCTGACGTTTGGGAAAGAGAGGGACTATGGTGAGGGGACTGTACTTCATGCCTGATTGTTGAGTAAATGAAGGCTTGTTTCTCCCTCAAGTTCAGATCCTGCTTTTATTCCGTTCATAGCACCTCTTCCAGCAGCTGCAGTCTTGCCTGATCAGTGCTTAGGAAACAGAATTAGCTGGTGGTGTTGAGTAGGGGACAACGCCTGGGGCAGACTGTGTGTGTTGGGGATAGGCGAGAGCAGTTAGCAGGATGTGGGGATACAGGGGGACAGATCCGGACTCTCAGACGCTCAGAGTGACCTTGGGTAGGTCAGGGGCACTTGCTTTCCAGTTCTGGGTAACGCAGGTACAGAGATGCTGTGCTGGGCATCTCTTCCTTCTCTGGGCAGGTAGGGGTGAGTGAGAGTGCTGCACCACGTTCTGCTTTCCTGGGGCAGAGAGGGTTCTCCTCACTCCACTTACAGCTCAGAGCTCATGGCAGCGGCTTTCCATTCATTCCCGGGAATGGTTCTATGCAGGCCGGCTTGTGTGAGACATCGGGGTAGGCAAGAGGCAAGAATGACAGAGACGCAGAGAACCATTCACAGCCGTGGTGGGTTTTCCCTAGGTAAAGCAGAGAGGAGAGGGAATGGGGTCGGGCCAAGCTGCGCACATTGGCTATGAAAACAGTTCAGCAGAGGCCAAGCCTGCTTGAAGAGAAGAGAGGGGCTTACTCTAGCATGGGAGCCTCCTGCCCTGAAGACCAGGGCTGGTCAGGCAGGGATGAGGCTGTGGCAGCCTCCACAAGCTCTTCGGAGAGGGATAGGGACATAGCTATCCTCCCCATCCCCACATGTTCCCCCAGCTGGGCCGGACAGCACCCCCTGCCTGTGTGTTCCTTGGGGGCAGGCCTCCCTTTCATCTTCCCCACACCCTGCCAGGAAGAACAGATTTCAGCTTTGCCAGAAGTGATTAGACTTGGCTGTCGAGTTCCTGAGTGAGGAATCTCTGTTGGTGAGCAGTACCAAGTCAGACCCATCACCTGGCCCAGAATGGCCTCCCAGTCCCCAGGTGTGGAGGAGATAGAGGTGGGCAGAGGCTCCAAAGACAGAGCTGTGTCCTGCATGTGCACAGCTCCCAGGAGCCACAGCCTCCCATTCCAACTCAGTCCCCATTCCCCAGCAGGATCTGTATCCTAGCTCCTTATTCATTGAGACAGCCCAGGTCAAGGCTGGAGCTGATGGCCCACAGACATGCACTGACTTTAAGATCTCTGGGTTGGTCTCTCTGCTGTGCATCCCTGGAGGTGCTCATTGATGGGGAGGAAGGGGTCTCATGATGTCCTCAAAGGCCCAGGCTGTGCCTAGGCAGTGACTTGGGAAGCTGACTCTTTCTGACATTGAACTCCATACTGGGCTATCTTGCATCCTAAGTTGGTCCTTCCTCCTCATCCTGGGTTGTTGCATTAGTGTCATCATCCAGATGAGGACAATGCTGAGGAAGGGACTGCATGGCTGATTAAGAGATGGGTCAGAAAGCTGATGGGAGGATGTGGATGCATTTGGTGATGTCGCAGGTGCCTTGGGCCTCTCTGGGCATGGAATGCATGGAGAAGGGTGGGCAGGGGAGGGCTATTGGACACTATGGGGAGATTAATAGTGGACATTCTTAGGAAAAAGAAGATAACTGGGAGGTAGTTCTTTCACGGGTTCCCTGTTGATTTTACAGGAAGTTCAGGTTGAGAAGGGAGTGGCTTGCCTTCCCTCCCTCCAAAAATGAGCTGCAAGCCCAGGGAGCTCATGAGCTCCGGAAGTGCAGGAACAGCCCCACTTTGCTAGCTGACTGGGTGAGGAACTCATTCTAGGTTCCTGGGCAATGCATTGCTCAATCCTCCTGGGAACTTCCAAGCACTGTGCACCTGACATCAAAGATTGAGCTCAACAGAGAATCAACTTCTAAGATATTTTATGATGATGATTTTTTTTTTTTACATCAAATGGAGTAGTTGCAAGGAAAGTCAGAGAGGCACCTGGCCTTAATTTGTTTTATCAAGGTGGGTTTTCCTGTTGCATTACAACAAACAAACAAAACACAGGTATGGGATGGACCTGGGTTTGCTGCAGGTTACGTTGTCACATGGGATACTTTTGTATTGGAGAGTCTGATTAGGAGTCTGAGTCCTGGCTGCTCTACTTTCAATTCAACTCCCTGTTAATACTCCTAAGAAGGCAACAGAAGATGGGCCAACTGCTTAGGTCCCCTTCATCCATGTGGGAGACTCAGTTGGCGTTCCTAGCTCCCTTTTGGCACTGGATGTTACAGGCACTAAGGGATGGGAGATCTCTCCCCTCCCTCCCCCGCCTTTCTCTATGTTTATCTCTTATACTGTCTCCATTACTCTGCCTTTCAAACAAATAAATGTTTCAAAAACTGCATGTAAAGAAAGCAGGGCAATTGCGGAAGGAATCAGGAGGGCCTAGTAGAAAGAAGGTGGAAAAGGATGCTAGGAAGACAGAGAAGCAAAGAACAAAAAGGGCTGAAGTAGTCGGATGAGAAGCCAGTTGGGACAATTACCAACAACATAAAGAGCCTCAGTCAGACCCTTGTGTTCATGGACTTGAGGTCTTGATTTGGAGTTGTGTACTCACCTCATGTCTGCCAACGAGCGCTCTTACCTTCCACAGGCAAGATATGTTCCCAACTCAAGGAGCCTAAGCTTGGAAGGCACCTGCTACCGTAGACAACCTGCTCATAGCAGGGGTCATTCTGGTTTTAGCAGGGCTGCCGTTTTTTTCAGAAGCCTCTTGATTCAGACCATTCTCCCTGGTCACATTGTTTACTCTCTTCCTGTTCCTTTCCTACCCTAGTCCAAGCTCACAAGGTAAGCACGGCCATCCCCTTGCCCCCTCCTCACCTACTTCCCTCCTCAACAGTCTGAGCACACTCACTCTGAGGGAATCTGCTGCTAAGAT